TAGTAGCGGTATTTTAATTTCCTCGGCTTTCTTTTAAAATTATTGACCCTACGTCCAATAACTGGAGCAGTGCATTCAAAACAATATATCAGGTTGTGGTAAAGATTGGAAAACGCAATGTCAACATTATTTGTGGTAAAATGAGTTTCCCATGGTAAACATTGAATGAGAGTTTCAGTCCGTTTCCATGTTTGTTGACCAAAATGTCTGCTCTGGTACGTCATTGATGCTTTAGAGTTCAATTGTATGGCGTTTGAAGAGTGAATAATACTCAATACAACTCATGACCGGTATGCACTGAGATAGAGTCTATGTTGATTGTGAACATTAAATCAAGTGTATTATTCCCTCTGGTTGGTTTTCGGACCTGTTGAACCCATCCAAAATTTTTTAGTGTTTCAACTAGCTTGTTATATCGACCAGGTACCGGAGTCAAGCCCCATGTATTTTTTGGCAGATTAAAATCACCTCCGATGATTTTAAAAGTATGCGGTTGATGTGGAGCAATGGAAAATATGTTTGTTAGTAATCTGTCAAACTTAGTATCAAACTTAGCATGCGGTGGTTTATATATGCATCCCACCAGTAAATATTTTTGGGATTCACAGTTTACGGTAACACAAGTGGAGTGGTCTATAGCATCAAGGGTTTTATCCTCGAATTTGCACGCTTGAATGTCTGAATGGACATTTATAATTGTGCCGCCTCCTATTCCATAACATCTATCGGTTCTAAAGAAAACGTAGTTATCTACGTTTAAGGAATGATCGGATATAGATGAGTTACACCGCGTTTCCGTAATTAGTAAAATGGTTGGATTTACAAGAAATAAAAAAGTTTTAAGATGAATAATTTCATTAGACAGAGAACGGGCATTGAACGAAAGAATAAAAAACTCAGAGTCATCATAGTGAAGCAGGTTGGTGTATAAATCGCAATTAGTAGTTCCATGAATAATCATAGGATTAGCTACGGTAAGAGTCGTGTTGTGATGGGAAATAGATTCAACCACTTTGTCATCATGTGAAACATGTTTACCGTTGCCGGCAAGAAAGTCGGCGGAATTACAAAAAAACGTTTTCTCATTGCTATTGGATATAAAATCTGATAAAGTCATAGTGTACATATTGGGAGCCGGACCAAGAAGGCTATCAGGTGTATGGTTGTGACCAAGTTGCTAATTACAAATCAAATAACTATTTATACCTGACGTATGGGTAACGTGTCTAAGACGTTTATTTTCAAGGTTTGTGGTTGATTTCGGCTTCTTCATATGTTGGATAGGATTGTGTACTGTTAAACATACTTACGATGGTTTGCAAGGTTCGAATATATCAACGTTAAGTGCGTGGTCAGTTATATGAATGTTATGATTAGTTTTCCTGTTATCCGTTGCACAGTTACTGTAACTGGATGTTGCACTAACAGAGGTTCGGATTGTGTCATCTCATTCTTCATCAGCATAACTACTTCGGGTTGAATCTAAGTCAAAATTCTTAAGAGGATGGACACCACCTACATCGAGATTACTTTCTTCTGGGTTTTGAACTTTAAGAGATTCAGAAGAGTTTTTCCGTGACGGCGAAATTGTTAAGCTAGACGTCCTCTTAGAATTAGACTTAATTTTACGACCATTCGGATTATGATGCGTTTGAGAGTTTGACGCTGGTGGTCTGTAGTTATCTCTACCTGCTTTTCACTGGCATGGTGTTTTATCCGGAAGAGTTTCCTTGCAACTTTTTTATAGCATCCAAATGGTTTCATTTGCGATTATCATCACTGTTTACCATCAGAGTTTTCAACATGTCTGGAATGGAGACGACTGGTAAAAGCTTTTCTGCTTCCGTATGAATAAAGTGGCTCGTCTCGTTGAAACTGTTGAAAGTTGTATGGCCAATGATCTGTTCAGTTTTATCTATATAATTTAATGGCATTCTTTTGGTCATTCTCTTTTTGAAGTTTTTGATGATTATTCAAGATAATAATGATCTTGTCAAAGAAGTCATTTTTGTTTGGAAGAACAGTTGCTATTTCTTGATGAGATATCTTGGTAATCGAATTCGTGACATTATTGAGTTTGTTGATAGTCTTTCTGCGCATGTTAGTCAAAATGCTTCTGTAGTTGTATCTACCATTCTCAAAGTGATAGCAACATTTCAACAATCTAACAACGTTCGCGTTGTAATTTTTTGCTAACTTCCAAGGTCTATTGTTAATATTCACATTACGTTATCCAGCGTAATAATCTGTCCATTACGTAATTATGGTTATTTCTTGTTCACATTCCTTCACAGAACTATTATTTCTTTTAAAAAAAATGATTATCATAAATATATTTACGATTGAACAGCTTGACAATAGATTCGATGAAAAGAGATCCCTTCACTAAACTTCCTGTTTTCAATGTGAAATAGATAACGATTAATGGTCAACATTGTGTGAAAGAAAGAGTGAGAAAGATTGATGGAATTACAAGTCACGAATAAGGTTATACGCAGAATCACGTAAATAATGCACCAATTATTGATTTTGGTTGGACACAGAATACATTTCTGAGAACGATTAGCCAGTGTTATAAATACAATCAATAATGAAAATGTTAAGGTGTATGAACAAGATAAGTTTCGCATACAAAAATTAACATTAGAAAAGCTACGTCACTATATAAGTCAATTGATCAACAACTAATTGAGCTCAAACTTGGCCAAGGTAATAGGAGCGGCGAAACATATTTCTTCCGTGGCATAGCCCTGGTGTCTTGATTGGAATAGCGATTGTTTTAGACGTCTACAGATGTCGCAGTACCACGGAATCACGTAGACTACTGTTAACACGATATATTGTTGTAAAATGTTGCTCCATATTGGCAGTGTGTCAAATTTGAATTAAATGAGCTAAAGTGGAACTGTTAACATTTTCAACTACACCTTTGATTAAACACACAGAGGGGCGCTCACGAGCCCGAATATACAAATCCCCAGAACATCTCTATCTACGCAACAAGCCGCACAGAAGCGGTTAAATTGATAGATACAGAAAGGAGTGATTAGTTCAGACAATTTATTTTTCAACAACAGAATGATCATTGCATGTGTTGAAAACACTGATTGCAGCTAACCAGCATTAAAATTTCTTTGGATTAATCTGCGTAACTTAAGACTGAGTATTTCACTAGGCGCATTGCCACTAAATTGTCATTGTATAGACAGAGGTGTTTCGTTCACGGTTAGGCTTTTGAGTGCATCGATCTATTTAACGGTGGTCTAGCTAACGATAAATAGTGTAACTGGTAAAACATTATTTATTCGTGATTAACGACTGACACTAACCGATATTAGTTGGTAGATACTGAACTTTTGAACTTCATGGAAATTAGAGCCAGTGCATAGTTGTGGGTGTGGAAATGTGACTGTAAGAGTATTTATTGTATTTGAACAATTCAGTCAGTTTAGCCGACAGATCCCTGTATATTATAAAAATCGTCTGACAATGTGATATTCAGTAATTTTTACTTCAATATTAGTTGGAACTTCAGAAATCGTTATTCTGTTTTGCTTTGTTGTTTATTTGGTTTTCTTAGCCATGCCTGTTGTAGCGATGAAAAAACCTGCAAACTCAGTAACTCTTTAAGTCTTCGACATTTGATTCTGATCTTTTTATGTTAAGTGAGCTGAAGGCGCCCGTTCAATCATCCGCACTAAATCACGATGCAGTAAGCTTTGCTCAACGTCTCTTACAACCGTTGGACATCTTATATAGTTCACGTCTCCATTTGTCCATAGCTCATCAAAAAGGTTTTTGAACCTCCTAGTTTCTCACTTCTGATTTCACTGTGTTGGCACGTTTGGATTATCAAAGATGTGACTGTTTAAAGGTGTTGTTAATCTACAAATGACTGTGGCATCTTTTATGATGAAAGTGCCTAAAAACATTTCTACTTGGTTTGAAACTAATCTCATGGTAATCGATGAACTCAGTCAACTCAAATAGGTCACAATTTACGGCTGAGTTTTTCATTATATCAATAGAAGTGATAGTGTGTATCGTCTTGTCATTAATATGAATTGTTGAAAGATACAGTTTTTTATCAGACTTCACCTATACATTCACGTTTGATATTGTTGATAGGGTATTACTATTGATTTGTAATTGTGCGGTAATTTGAAATTCAATTACTTATGACTAATGATTTAATAACGAGCTAGGCTGCTTGTGCAAGATTTACTTCAAATCTTATCAGCTTATAATTGAAATGAAACGAAAAACGTGTTTGTTTGTTCAGTATACAACATTCACAGAACAAGACAAATGGTAAATGGGTCTAAATAATAGGTCTACTGTCAATTTCAGGAAAACATTTCTAATCTTCAGATTGTTACATTAAACATTTGTATAAAGACCAGGTTACATACGGAGGAATTGTGGAAAGTTAAGATGAAGAAGTGCGTACTCGTGTCTCAATTATGCGCTGTACCTATTAAGGTCTACATCTAAAAATCACCGCTGTCAATCAGACACTTCCAATTTAATGAATAGATACTCTATTGATTTCTATCACAAATGATCAGTAGTTGTTAGATTCAGGAAGGTAAATGTTGAAACAAAAGTAATTTGGTCGATTCATTTACGATTGTTATTTACCACTTATAACATTTTTTATTTTACATTATTGTCAAGATTATTACAATTGATTGATTCATGCTTTATTTACATCATCCTGTTAACCCCCTATCTGCCTGTCTCTTACACACACTAACCTCACTAACCTCACCATTACATCATTTCAATAATTCATTATCGGAACCAGTTCATTTAGTGAAAAGATGTTCACATCTATATACAAGTATACAGCTTGATAATAAGTCCATTCAAAAGAAATATCTTCACTGAATATTCTCAACTATTTGAATGCATTTCTATTCAGTGACCCGAGTTACATCACAGAGCACCTTCAATGACGTTCGTCTGAAGTTTAATGAACCCGTGAAAACATTCAATACTCATAGGTGGATATGTGATATTTATTGACAAAGTCGTTTGATATAAACGAAAATTATCATAGCATGAATAAGTGCAACATATCAAGTAGTCAAAATTTTATATAGGCTCGCTTTATTCAAAATGACTTTCGAGCTTCTTTATATATTGAAATAGTGAATATTTCGATGGATCCTACACCATTTTGCTGTATTGTCCCATTTCTACCTGTATATGCTTGAATTCCGATTTGAGATACTTGGTTTAGATTGGAAGGCAGTCGGTTAGACATCTGTCTTTCACGACAGTGTTGTGTGAAGCTCCTTAACGGTAGTTCTATACGTTGTCGTACGCCAGATGTCTATAAATATTTCATATAAAACACATTATATTTCACATTACCTTGAAATTTGACTCACATGATGCACAATTTTGTATATCTCCACAGTTTCCATAGAAGATCAGTTTGAAATTAGAATTAAGACCTTGTCTATGAAGATCAATTACAACACCGTCATATGCTGGCCAAACGGGATCAAAAATTATCTTGTGGACGCCAGCGAAACTCGATCCAGTTGGTCCTGAATTGAGTAGATAAAAGAATATGGCTGATTGTTTGTTCTAAACATGGTGTCAGTTAAATTGCTATATAAATTAAATTTACCTGTCGATAAAGTGGCACGAGTGTGGCTTTCGATCGTTGGTCTGTATGTGAATACTCTATCCAACCTGTAAATACCCCTTTGTTATTAGTATCAGTGAAATCGAGAAGGGTTTTGTTGAATAACTCATTTCGATTAAAGTAGGTTTTGTATGATGATTTTCCCTCCATAGCGTTGTGAGTATTCAGCAGTAGAGTTGTGAATATTAAAACAAGAACGGAAGTATTTTTGATCATCATTCGGAGGTAATTCAGCTTCAAATTAATTTGATATGTTTGTCTGTATGGCAAAATAAAATTTTATCAAACGTGCAGTTTAGAGGCTGTTATGAGTATAAAGTGAGATATTCACAGAACATTGCGGATAGTTTGATGTTTTATACTGACAACGTGTTTACGAAACAGTGGTCTAGAGACGAAGCAATTTCTTACAACGATAACATGTGTTTGGATTTAGAAGTCATAAAAATAACAATATATCGTCTGATATATGCTAGTCAAGATCAATATGTAAGAAAATTGTTGGTTATTTGACTATTTCTATTTGAAATCCTAAAGCTAATGCCGATTTAATTGCTCCATCTGTACATGTTAGCTCAGAATATAATAAAGATTGACGGAACGTTTTTATCGTATGTTAAATTTCCACTATTCCATACACCTCTGAGAGAATCAACCTACATATCTCATGTGTAATTTAATTATTTCGTTGACCACATTCAATTATTGGAATATTTAAATTTTACTTTTACACAGTGAATAGTGATTCCATTTTGCGTAATACGTCGAGTGAATTGCTGACAACGCATCGTAGTTTATAGTGAACAGCTTTTACTACACATAGAATATTTGTTAGATATATGTGGAGATTGTCCAAGTCATAATGTTTCATCAAAGACAGGGTTCAGGTAACAACTGTGGGAGATTCATGATCAGTAGATTTGACTTGTTGTCCTTGTATGAACCTTCAGAGTAGTGTTCAAACTTGACTAATTCAAGGATCATGTCGATTGTTTAAGGTTCAGATCAAAAGTTTGGCCTCTCACATTCCGAAATTCTAACTTCAGTCGATTCTCAAAATTACACTGATTCACTCTGAGTGATGAACTGCTCTAGATAATGATGAACTTTTCTTTACAAAAATGATACTATTTGTCGACTACAACGTTTGGTTATATAAATGTTTCTATTATTGACAAATTGTACATCAGTGTTAGTTTATATTTTACAGGTATATTTCAAAAAGCTACTGAAACAATAATTGAATACTGAATATTTGAAAAACTTACTTCCAGACTACGATATCACGTCAATTAAACCGATCACGTAGCCATCTCCTTTTATATTTTCATTTTACAAGGAGATTGTGTATTTCATCCAATCAAGTTATCATAAGTGCGATCAGATTCATAATGGCCGTTTTTGAGACGAATACAAAGATCAGATGATCAGATATAGTGAACGTGACGTTAATAAAATAATATAAATCTCAATTGAATGAAGCAAACATAAGGTTACTAGTTAAATGCACATATAATATAATATCTTGTGATGCAATTAAAAATTTTGAGTACAGCAAGTGTTATTTCATAATAGCATACATTGCAGAATAATCTGAGTGAAACACTCACTCGAAACTGTTTAGTTCGATGATACGACTCCTCAGAAGTTGGCATCGAACACCTCACCAATGGTTAGTTTTTGTCATTGGTCTAGACTCACGGTTTTCCAACTTATTCGGATGGATCCTCCGATTCCAGCAACCAGGTTACAGCATCGGACGTTCAGTTTCATATAGAATAAGAGCTCATTGTCCCCACTTCCGTCTGCACCTGCGCAAATGTGTACTTTGAGTTCATGATCATCCATAAACAGATTCAAATATACCACAATAAAATTGAAATACAAGTGAAGAAATATCGATAGAAACAGTTTCCCCAAATGTTTTGAATCTCATTTTTAGTTTAGGATGTAGCACGTCTAACTAACTTTGCACACTCAACATGATCTCCACCAACGGTGCATTGCAATACACTTGGAACTTATCATCAAATATTTTAACCAAACAATAACAATTAAGTGATCAGATTGTGCATCCTCCACTAAACTTAAATGTCATTCTGTAGATTTGGTAGGTGGATATTCGAAGCATGCATATTACCGAGATTCACTGGTCCATCATTCGATCTCAATTGTCTAACGCCACCTATCATCTAAAAGCCAGGTGACACATATCAACACTATAAATGATTGTACCTGATCAGGTATTCCACACATTTAAAACATGCATGCATTTCATACTATGACAAATCTCAAACACGATTGGAGCTCAGTTGGGAGAAGTGATTGAACTGACTTCAACTGTTAGGAGGCTTCATATATTTTATCATCACTTGGAAATGTGAATTTGCTACAAATAAATATTACCTGGAGATCTGTGCAAAGGATCTTACTGTCCCATCTGACACAGAAGGACTAGCTCTCACTCGGCTGTTCTCACACATCCAAATTATGCCATTAAGTCTTTAGCATTGAATAACTCACCGATATACAGAGTGTAGACTCCGCGACCTGAATTCTAACTTGCTACGTAGTCTATAAAGTGTGAGTGTTTGAAACATTTTAGCAATTCTTGAAAATGTGATTATAAAGCTATTCTCAAAGCTTTCGTTTTTAAAATGAGGTGAGTTTTGAGTTATTTTGACTAATCCATAACAGTTTGTATTCTTCTTGGTAATGCAAAACATGAAATGAGAATGAGTATTATGAGATCATAGAAAAAAACGTTTCTACTTGTCCAACACAACCAGTAAGCCATCCATTTCATCTCAACAATTTCATGTCACATTATTCAGGAAAATTTTATTCTGGTCAATACAATTATGTTGATTTTTGTAATGTAACGATACACAAGACCAATATGATTTCTAAAAAAATGACTGCAGTTGTACGTGTATGACATAATATGGCAAGGCGATAAATGGATTACATCATATGAATGGGGTTAATGAATGACGTTTAGCGAACTATCTGAAAATGAGATCATATGCACTCATTTCATGCGGTTGATATTGAGCTGAAGCTAATGGTCAGATTTAGGTTCATTGAAAGTATCGCAATGTTAAACTGTGAAAATACAACTTGTATAACTCCGTACGCTGTATCAATGCAAAATTTCGCGCTTGATCTACAATGCAACAGAATATCATGGGGATATTTTGTATGCAAGATTTGATTATAGAATCTGTCAAAATTGTTTTATTTAGTAGATCAATAAGTGCAGTGTCACTACAAACTTTGAGTCATGTCCCATCAATAATACTAGATGTTGAGGATAATCATCTAAACTACAGTACACGAAGTGAACACGGGTGATGAAATGCACGAAATATCACGTAGTGTTGGTCAAATGTCCAGTTACAGATAATGAAGAATATGGACTTCTTGTCACCAATTTAAATATGAAATTCGAACGCATAAAACACGCCTGATGTGTACAAAGGAATGAACTAGTCTGTACTAAATTATTACAAGCTACGACATAATAAGCAATGACATTTTAACAAATATACGCTTCTGTAATATATTCGAAATCGTATATTCATAATTTCGCCGTTGATAGCACAATGTCATACTGAAAAACGAAATCTGAGAGTTATATTTTCTGACATCCAACTGGTCTGATTTATCTTCTATTGATCTACACTGATATTCAGTGGCCAAAACTATAAAACACATACTTTAGTATTTACAAATGAATTACTGTATCAAGACAGTGGGCTGTAAACAAATATAATTGATTACATTGATTATGGAATGATGCTGTCAGTTAAGTGCAAGACTCAGCAATTATTGTAAACATTACAGATCCTCGTTGAAATTGTCAAACAGAGACTGATGATACACAGAAATGTTCACATTGAATAGGTTATTCATTTATGACATACTTTTCTCTTTCTTCAAACCTTTATGTTATGATGGAAATCACCTTAATCGAATAGTGATATATTGATATCGTCTACTTGGTTTCTTTTCTTCCATAAGCAATCAACAACATGAATTGGTATTCCTTCTATGGAAAGAACAATAGCAATAAGAGTAGTAACAAATCATAATTAATTATTTTAAGTTCTGTGGTTCATTGAAGTTTGTCTTCTATCTCTTGTGTCATTCACTATCCCATTAATCGTGTTATTCAACTCACAACATAATCGAATGACCAATCAAATTTCAACGTGTCCATATCTGCAATCGAGGCACGCAAATGTCAGCCGGGTGGTTCCGAGAATATTTGTTATATATGCCGAGAAGTAATTTCATTTTATGTAGGTAAGTGACAAGATTGCAAGGAATGACAATAGGTCTTAATGCGTACATCAACACAATTCATCTTTTATTGGACTGTTACGTTCAAAGTTATATTTCCGTTGTTTGAATATCGGTTATAATAATAAAATTTATAAATAAAATTTATATTCTGAAAAATAATAATTACAGAATTCACGCCAGTTTACAGGCATGATCAATTTGATATAAGTAATAACGTTAAACGTTCAGAAAACAAACATGTGATTAAAGAAAATTTTAAGTGTACTAGTTCACTGGTTGTTTAAGTAGTACATATATTATAGCGATCCAAAGCATTATCCGGGAATTTTTAATATTTCTTAAATGGAGAGCCTGTTGATTTATGAACGGTGTAATTAAGGTCATTTCGTGTGCCAGATCGAAATAATGATAATTATCTACAACTATAGAAATGAAAAGGAAAACAGAGAGCACGGAACAACAAAAACGTAATTACCAAAATATATTAATCAGGTCTACCTAAATGCGTGTGTCATGTGACACAGTGATATACTGTTTGTGTTATTCAAATTAGTTAAAGTTGCTAGGGGCGGTGTTGACATATTGACAGCAAGTGGGTGGTTTTACTAAGGGGATTCACTAATAAAGATGGCTAAACATTTAAGGTCCCTAAAATATTACTTGTGGAATGAGATACACTTAAAGGCGCTAGACCATTCAATGCATTTTCAGAAGAACAGTATGCATCGATGCAGCGAACAAATAATGGGAGTGATCTCATCGTGCGGATAGGTTGTGGTAGGTTATTCCAGAGATTAGAAAATTTACAGGTGAAGTAATTCATATAAAGAGATGATTTAGAATGAGTTTGTTTCACTAGTGCCAAGGAACTACGGATGTCATAATGAGAGATTTCTGCATATTGAATCACGTGATCGGATGTAAACGATAGTTTATGAAGTAGTTTGAAGAAAAAGATAAGATTTAGTTTGAGTCTCCTCCTCCATAAAGGGTCTAGCCTAATTTTATTACATCTAGAATTATAAGTTAAGGTACAATCAGCTCCAGGAATACGAAGTGTAAATCGTCTCTGTACTGATTCCAGCCTTAATTTATCCTGTATGAGCGCACTGTTAAGAATAAACGTGCAGTATTCCAGAAGAGGTCGAGCTCTTGAACCATAACCACTTATGTTTTCTACAACATTGGCGAATGTACTGCTGAAAAGGTCGGCCATGGTTTTTGAGTCGTATATAAAAGTGCTATTATGCTGGATGCACAGTATATCAACATTACGAGTTGCTTTAGTGCGTTTATTGAACAGGAGAGTTAAGTTTTGTACTTTCGAGTTAGTATTAGGGGCTAACAGTTCCTCATTAATGGCTTTTGATTTATGTTTCTCTTTAATTTGATTAAAAAATATTGTTATTTGTGCAACTGCTGTGAAGTCGTTTGACTTAAAATAAAGATTCTGTAGGCGTTTTAGTTTATTACGATATTTAGCTGGTATATATAATTCGTAAGGTTTACTAAACCTGTACGTTTTAACAGGTAAACAGGAATCTAAACAGGAGTTAATGATCAGATAAAATTCATCGATAGCATCCATGAGACTATTACATGAAAAAAAATATCCCAGTCTGATAGTTTAATCAATGAATGCAGGAGGTCCCAGTCAGCATGCTTATAGTGTCTATATTGACAGGTTTTTTGAATGGGTGGGTTATAAGAGAGATAGATTGGGAGAGCGCAAACTACTATCTTATGGTCACTGCTTTCAAATTCATCATACACTTTTACAGATAGTGGTATAACATCTCTACTAAATATTAGATCGAGTATACTATCGCCTCTAGTTGGGGCACGAACCCACTGTGACCAGCAGTGCATGTTAATGGTTGCCGAGAACTCATCATTACATGTCTGACAGCTACCAGTACTCCAGTTGATCCCAGGATAATTGAAATCCCCAGTGATAACCTTAGCATTAAAGTTTAGAGAGGATGCATGT